TTTTAAATAACACAATAAATTATTAATAATATAGGATACAGTTTACTTATAAAATATTTTATTAAAAATATACTTTATAAACTTTAATATAATTTTTTTTAAAATTAATAAAAAACTTTTAAGTAATAAAAATTTAAAAATTTTATTTAAAAATTTTTATTATAAAAAATTTCTTTAAACATTTTAAGATTTTATATGTTTCTGAAACTAAAAATTAATTTCATTCTTAATACAAGTCAAATTTTTACAAGTAAATAAAAAAGTTGTATTAGTAAAAGTTGGCATTCTTATATAAGTTATAATACTATATTAAAAATTATAAGTTTAAAATTAATATTTTAACATGTTTATTAAAATTTAGTAAATATTTTTTAATTAAAAAATTTTTTAAATTTATCTATTTGTAGTTTATAAGTAACTTAACTTTTTTTTAGAATATAAAATTAAATATTACTATATTATAATCCTTATTTTTAAATATTATTTAACAAAATTTTATTTAAATATTTTAAAAGTTAAAAAATATAGATTATAAGTATATTTTTTATTAATTTTCTTGACAAATTTGCATAAAAATAATCTACAGTTTAAGAAATAATAAAAATTAAATACTATTATAATATAATTTTTATTTTTAAATATTATCAAATAAATTTTATTTAAATATTTTAAAATTTAAAAAAAGTAAACTATAAACATATTTTTAATAATTTTTTAGGCAAATTTGTTTGAAAAAGTCTACAGATTAAGAGATAATTAATAAAAATAATTTAATTCTTCATATAGTTATCTTAAATAAATCTATATCTAAATATATAAGGTGTTTTAGTTTTAAATAATATACAGATTTATTATAATAATGAATTACTTAAATATTTAGATGCATTTGGCATATGTATCAACTTTTTTTTACTATATTCATCAAATCTTAATTCATTAAAACTGTTTTTTTATATATTAAAAATTATTTAAGATAATATAATTATTTTGTAAAAAATTGGTTAAATCCTATATATTCTTTATTAGTTGCTTGCTTTCAAATTATATCATTACTTTTAGAATATTTTTTAATAAATTAGATTACAAATAAAGAATTTAAAATTATAATAAATTATTAAAATTATTAATATTACTATATTTGTTAGCATAATTATAAAAAGTTTTTTATATACAAATAATATCTATTTCATATTTTTTAAACTTTTTATTTGATAATTTTGAAAATATTTATACTAAAATTCTATGTTATTTCAACTTTACTAAAAAAAGTTTAGTAATAAATATTTGTATTTTTATTTTTATTAACTTGTTTTAAAGAATTATTAAATTTGATATAGTTAATTTTGTAACTTGTAATATTTTTCTAAAATATTTAAATAGAATATAACTAAGAAAGTGCTAAAAATGCTTATAATAGATTATAAAACAAAAATAATAAATATGTATTTAATAATGGATTTGAGTTTAAATCAAATTATAAATTAGATATTTTTGTTTTGGATAGATATTTATTGTGATTTTAGAAATTAGCAAGTCTAATGCTAAACTAATCCAATACTTGTATAACCTATAGTGGCTAAGTTGAAATAGGCATGTTAGATTTGGCAAATAGTTTATTTATAGGTAAGTACTTGTCTCTTCTCTTTATGTTTTTCCTTTAACCTTTCTCTTACTAATCTAGTTTTCTCTTATCTACCTTAACACAGAATTACACTACATCGAATCAGGATTGAAACTCTTTGATTACATTATTAGTCTTGTTATATGGCTTGCAGCAAGTCATCAATTGGTGAGTTAGTAGTTTAAAAAAGAACAAATAATATGGGCAATAGTAGTTAATGATAGTTTATTAGTTTATTATAGCACTTATATTTTATTATGAATTAGATATTTATTAATATAGAAGGTTTTATTTGTATAAGAGACAACTTGACATTGTTTTCTAGAGTAGAAATGTTCTTTATTTATAATAAACATCTTATTTACATTCATAATTAATTTATATTATAAATGCCAGATATTTCTTATACTCCATATATTCACTAAATATAATAAAAGGCTGATATGTCATTTAATACATATACAGCTGAAGTAGCAGAAGTGACATAAGTACTATAAGTACTATAAGTACCATAGGTAACATTTTTGTTACTTTTTATGTGACCTTGGATCAGGTAAAGATTGTCACCCTGATTCAGGCACTCATGACCTCAAAAATCAGACTCACACTATATACAAATAGTAGATGTAATAGTAACTGTATAGGCATAATTAATTCTTTATTTTTAAGTAATATTAAATAAATAAAAATATATATTAATTTATTTAGAATAATAAAAATATACTTACTATCTTTTGATACCAAATTGAATGCATTATAAAGGTTATTTCAATATGATTTTTCTTATTTTTATCTTTGTTTAAACAAACCCAGTTATGTATATTACAATAATTAACAGTTCAAATTCTAATATTTGTTTTGATATCTTAGTTTCTTCTAATGTAAAGTTTGAAATTTTAGCATCTTTATTTTTGTTTTTATATACTTTTGATACATTGTCTTCAGATGAATCAATTTCAATTTCAGAACTATTGTATTAAAATAAAATAAATTAATTTTTTTTACAAAATTAAAATTTTTATATACTAGTATTTATTTTTTTACATTTAGTTTTATTTGAAGTTTGTAAATTAATTGTAATAAAAATTTCTATAATTTTTTTTTGTTACAGAAAATTTTGATAATCAGAAAAGAATTTTTAAAAATCCTGAATATCAACTAACTGAGTTCTAGTACCTAGTGTTTTTCTGCTTTGAATACTACATAGTAATCACATACTTTAATAGATTTATTTTTTGTTAATATAATTTCATTAATATAAATTTATGCAAGAAATTCATCTACTTCTGATACAATAATTATATACCATTTAGCTGATTGAAATTTCTATCTAATTTAATAAAAACCTCATAATGAATTTTATAATTATTGTCCTCATCTGTAAAATAAGTTACAATTTCATTATTTTCATCAAATTCAAAAATTTCTAATAAATTTTGGACTGTTTCATTTTCTTCTATAGTAAGATTACATATTTCAGAATTAACCTCTATATTATTAGACATTTCTAAATTAGAAAATATTCTAATATTATTAGACCTCTTTGTTTAGAATGAAATTATTCAAGTTAAGGTGTCATTACATTGTAAACAAAGTAAGAATTTGAAAATTTCTTTCATTGTTATTGAATAATAATATTTCATAACTTTTTCTTTAATAAAGAAATTTGATTTCTGATCCAATTAGGATTAAAAATTCTTGTGAATACATACTTGACAGCATTAGTTTGATTACATTTGTGTGAGGCTTGAGTTAATATACAGTTACATCTTTGTTACTATAAGTTAATTCCACAATATAAACAAATCCGGCATCCAAAACAAGTTCCTTCTTATATTCAAGTTTTGTAAGTTGAGCATCCATTGAATACAACAATAAAAAATATTTATTTAATTTATCGTTATTATTATAATAAAAAAAATAAAGTTTAAATTTGATTATAGCTGTTTTCAAAAAAGTGGAACAGACACAGATCACCATATCTCGAGAAATTCACGAAATTTCCCAGATTTCCAGAATTTTCAAATCCAATGCTAATCGGACATTCAATTTTTACTAATCAGAATTTTCCTATTCTTCGATTTCCGTCATAGGTATATGAAAATCGTTGTTCACACCTTTTTGAAAACAGCTGTAATAATCTAATTTTCAGATTTCCGATTTCCCGATTTCCCTTCTTTACATATATATGATAAAAATTGCTTGATTACACCTTTTTGAAAATAGCTGTAATGTGTTAGAGAGAAATTCGTCATCATTATGCATTATATAAACATAACTGTTATCCGACAATTTATTATCATGCTTGGTAGGGAATTGTTGGCTGAGTTTTAATTCAAGTAAATGAGATCACGTATTTAGTAACACGTGAAAAAAATAACAGATAGAAATAAATTTATGATCATATCTCGGCCGACAAATCACGAATCCATGCTATTTAAAACTATATTTACAAATTAGATACTAGTATTTGCACACATAATTTAACTCTTCAGATAACTATACACTTTGTTCCTGGTATAATTAGCCGAATAAAAATTTCCTATTAATTAGTTGAATAATTGTTAGTCAGTTGGTTTTTCCATAAAGTCGTTGTGCTAGTTTAATAACATAAAATTTTGGTTCCAACATTTTATTTACATATTATCAACCATTAATTCTGGAACTATCCCAATATTTTCCCAACTTAAGCATTCTAGAAAATTTCCATCTAAATCTCTAATCTCACAATTAGGGTTAATTGCAATAGTTTTAATAGTTTTAAGTGTTTCTTGAGAAGCTGTACTTCCTGTTTCATTTGGAATATTTTTATTAATTGTATGTTCCTTAATAAAGTCGCACGAACGATATATTGAGAACTGGGAAATTTTATCAGGAATCATCTAATTACAAAATATAAATCAAAATATGAATATAAATATATGAGATTATTTTAAAGAACCTGGAATCGTTTGAAGTTAAATAAACTCACTTGTTGGAAACAATGACATGTTCCATCATAAACTTCAAGTGTGACTTTGGTAGGTTTCTTGAAAGGCGAATTAGGAAAATTCATTGTAGCATATTTAGGCAATTGATAATTATTCGGATCAGAAGCTCTAAAACTAAATAAAATATCTTGGTCCAGAAATCGTTCTCCACTACCCACTTGCTATTTTATTGGTGAGTGTAAAAATGCATATTTGAATGATTAACATAAAGCTCAACATGATCAAATATTTTTTAAACTGCAATTCACTCTAGTTGTAGTGAACTCTCGATATAGTGAATATTCGATATGGTGAACATTGAATATAGTGAAGAATTTTGAATTACTGATCTATTAAACTTCAACTCGATATGGTGAAGCACTTATAGTGAATATTTTTGAATTACAGACCTATTAAACTTCCACTCGATATGGTGAAGCACTTATAGTGAATATTTTTTTTTAGCCCGACGACTTCACTATAACGAAAGTGAGTTGTACTTACACATAAAATAGGTGGCAGATTTCCCAAACTTTCTGCCAACATTGGACTAACATAAGGAATAGCCAAAGCTTCATTTGCGCAATACAATTTGAATCTCGGAACTTTAGTAAAAGAAGGGTGACAGACCACATTTGGCTTCTTTTGTTCAATTTTATCTGCAAGATTTTTTGCACGTTCATAATATTCTTTTGACAAAGAGGATGATGGACCAAGTTTACGAGTGTTTAGTGCACGAACAACCCAATCAGTTTTATCCATTTCAGGGTTCCAATATGATGGCATACTATTCGTTAAATCTACCCATGGTGCCTTTTGAAATTATTATTGTAAAATAAGAAAGAACATAATAATATGGCAGAATGAATTAAAAATAAAAATTATAAAAATTATAATATACCCATAAAACAAGGCCCGCTGGCGGCAATAAACCAATGTCACGAATTAGTAATGCAGTAGCAACAGCTAATCCACCACCTGCACTAGAACCGGCAAATATAATTTATTTAGGATCAATTTGCTTAAATCCAGCTTCTGGACCGGGATTAGTAAGATAAAAATACGCTGCTAAAGCGTCACAAAGTGGGACAAGAAATTGATGCTCAGGAGAAAGATGATAATTAAGCGCTAAATATGTGCAAATAAATAGTGTTTAAAATTTGTCTCTGAACTGAGAAACATAACATTAAAAAATTTAAGATAGTTTTACCAAAAACCGAGCATTCAGCATTTTCAGCAATTTTACAAGTAAAGTTGCGAGATGATTTAGAAGATCCCATATAATATCCTCCAGAAAACATGTAAAGCACTACCCTTCCTATTTCCTTCTTATCTTAAAGTTTAACCCATTCTCCACATAATCCATCATCAGTGGAACATTGCCATTTTTCATCAATAACATCTTCATATGGTTTTAGTTTATCCACCAAATATTCTTTACTTTTGATCACATACTTTTCATCCAATTTAATCTCCTCCACAATGCAATTATCAGGAATTGTTATAGGAATGAGGTCCAAGCTCTCCCTTGTTCTTCTAAAGTCTTATCTTTGTAAATTTCACCTCTCTCTTTGATTTTTTTTAGTGCTTCATAATATTGTGAAGAATGCGAATTTTGAGACATTTTTAAATTTTGTGCACAATGCAAAAAAATCTAAATTTCGATCTCTTTATATAAAATAATACGCCAAGAGAAGCTTGTCAACAAAGTGACGAAGCGATCATTATTGCGAGATCAGATGACTTTATGGTAGATCATATGCAACAT